TTGCCACATCATGGAGAATCGCCTAGTACGCCGCAAAGTCAATTTCCAAATGAATTTGTCGGTCTAAATGACATACCGATACCTGAAGATGTTCACATTCACGGTTAGGGAAGCCACATTCCAATTGATTTGGATGATATTAACGTTTCCGAAGCAGAACATGAAAATGAAGATCAGCAATTAAATATCCCAAATGCGAGGGGAAAGCGAAAGATCAAAAAACAAGCAAAATGTTGGGATCACTTTAGGTTGATTTCAACGGGAAAAGTCGTTGATGGCCTTGCAGAATCTAAAGCAGTATGTAAATACTGCTAACAAAGATTGGCATGACAAAAAGGAATTGGTACCACTCATCTCAACCGTCACTACAAATCATGTGCAGCCAGACATAGACTTTTTCCAGCTGATCAAACACAATTACAATTTGGCAGTTCAGGCGTCGATTCTTCAACTTCACCCCTATCCACGTGGTGTTGAGTAGAAGCAGAACCATGGTCACAGTCTTGCTCATTAACGGGTGAAAATTGTAGAAATGAAATGAAATTTTCGGAGCTTGTCTTGTATAACTGTCTTGCTTCTAGCTAATAATAATAATATTATTCCTTTGCCAATTTTACGTGGGACAAGGTTTGATACAAACATTCTTGTTTGCATATAATCGTTAAGCTTTGTTTGGATTTGAATTATTCGACAGTCTGTTTCCCCCTTTTTTCTCTTTTAATTTAATTTAATTTTTTTAAAAGACCATTATCTTTCACGGGTAATTGGCACAAAACGTCCCTACATTTCAAGTGTATTGTGAAAAACGTCCCTACCTTTCATTTTTTGGCAAAAACGTCCTTACCTTCCACTTTCTTGGCGTTAAACGTCATTTTCATCAATTTTTGACAATTTTACCCTCTATTCAAATAAAAAAAAAGAAAAAAGAGAGAGAAAAAAAACTAATTGCAACCACATTCCCAAATTTTCTAAAAATTGCAAATAGTAACTTGATAATTACAATATTAAATAAATTGGAAAAAAATCAAAAAATTTAAAAAAAAATTTAAAAAATGGGTTGTCTTCTTCATGACACCCCACCATACAAAATCTCTCTACACAACAAATCTTTCAAATCCGAAACCCCATTACATCTCTCGAGGGTTATTAATAGCTTACTTTTTTGCTATTTATCTTCTGTTATTGTTATTTTTCAGTTTTGATGATTTCCGTGGATAGTATAGATGGGGGAAATTTGTTAGGTTTAGGGTTAGAAATGGAAGAAAACGAACTTGAAGAAGGAGAGGCTAGCTGTTTTCAGAATGATGGTGACGATTCCACCATTGACCCTGATATTGCACTATCTTACATTGTAAGTTCATTTTATTTTTTCATCTTTCTTTGTAATTCAGTTTTTCAGTTTTCTAAAGCTGCATGTAGTTTGATTTATGAATTATATCCTGTTCAGTTGTGCAGAGAGATGTAATAGAGCTTCGAATTTGGAGGATTTGCTATGCAGAGGGATTTTGTGGGGTGGGGTGGGGTGAAGAAAACAACCCATTTTTAAAATTTTTTTTCTTAATCTTTTGATTTTTTTTTTCAATTTATTTAATATGGTAATTATCAGGTTACTATTTGCAATTTTCAAAAAATTTGGGAATGTGGTTGCAATTAGTTTTTTGTTTTTTTCTTTCTTTTCTTTTTGTTTTATTTTAATGAAGGGTAAAATCGTCAAAATTTGATGAAAATGACGTTTAGCGTCAAGAAAGTGGGTAAGGACGTTTTGTGCCAAAAAATGAAAAATATGGATGCTTTCCACAATAAACCTAAAAGGTAGGGACGTTTTGTGCCAATTACCCTATCTTTCACTTTTTAGTAGACGGAAAGGGAACATCATCTTATCATAGTTAGAAAGTGAATTGAGAGGTGGGATTTTAGACTTGACTTCCCTTAAAACATTCTGATCTTTCCCATTTGTTTTTGTAACGAATAAATTAACGCAGACCTTTTAACTTTTTGCGCGACGTGATTTTAGATTCTTAATTTTCAAAAGTGAGGTTATGAATCCCCAACCTATTTAAATATGTGAATTTGAATACACTTGTAATGGAAACTTTCATTGTAGGCATTAAAATTGCACTCGGATTTTAGAAAAAAATGTTAAAGGGGTTTGATGGTTTTATTCTCTAGCTTTGAGTCGTGTGAAAGTCACATGCAACGTTTAGGTGTACACTGGTAATTCAATTCATGCGAGAACTCAAATTCATAGTTTAGATAAGTTGGACTTGAAATTTGACTTTTGAATGTTGAGACTTGTAATCACATCACGTGAAAGATTGAGAAGTCCACCCATAATTTTGTTGGAGAGCCGCTGAGTAATTGGATCTTATCATGTGTTCTGAAGCCGTTGTTGGGGATCCTAGGAGTTCAAACAAACCAAACAACAATCAACAAACAAGATTCAAGGCAAAAACAAGAAAAATAAACTGGAAGAATACTCCCCTTCTTTGGCCGAAAATCTGTCCAGCTTTTCTGCTTCGTTTCAGCAGCTCCTTCTTCGATTTATGGGTGTTTTTCCAGGCTCAGGAACAGCCCCATGTTATGCCAATTGCCTTCCAAAGAGAGAGGGGAAAAAACCAATGAAGAACCACCACCCTTCTATGAAAAAACGAGAGCTCCTACTGCTGGGAATTGCAGAGACTGAGAGCTGCCCTCCCTTTATTTGAAAATGGTAGAGTGTACATAATGAAGGGGTAGGAAGAAGGACCATGCCTCTGCCAAAGAAAGGGAAGACCTTATTGTGTCAACCTCACTCCCATCAACTCACAACATTAGGTGGTGGGGTTAGGTGAACCATATCTTCACAGCCGTCTTACTCAATTATCTATTGATGCTGGCTTTTTCTATTTCGTGTGCATTTCATAAGTGCTTTATTGGAGTGCACCTTACAGGCTGTGCCGGTAACACGACTCATCCCCACAGAACTTTAAAAGCCTCTATATATGTTGATTTATGAACTTTAATGGTGCTAATAATTTTTTGCCAAATTGCAAAAATTTTGGATAAAAAATTACAGAAAGACTAATCTCAATTTAAAGAAAATTATTAAATTTCCAATTTTTTTTAGTGATGGAAATATCAATATAGCTGTTGAAAATGTGTATCATTTAATTGTACTTGACTAAAAAACAAAATAGGTAATGTTACATGGAACGAAATTAATGTTAAGCACTAATTTAGATGTCAATTAATTGATCTATAATTAAATGATATCAATAAATTATTACCTCTGGTGATAGAATTACAGCGAATTAGATCTATAAAATATAATATAATGCACTCAAAATAACGAGAGCTCCTACTGCTGGGAATTGCAGAGACTGAGAGCTGCCCTCCCTTTATTTGAAAATGGTAGAGTGTACATAATGAAGGGGTAGGAAGAAGGACCATGCCTCTGCCAAAGAAAGGGAAGACCTTATTGTGTCAACCTCACTCCCATCAACTCACAACATTAGGTGGTGGGGTTAGGTGAACCATATCTTCACAGCCGTCTTACTCAATTATCTATTGATGCTGGCTTTTTCTATTTCGTGTGCATTTCATAAGTGCTTTATTGGAGTGCACCTTACAGGCTGTGCCGGTAACACGACTCATCCCCACAGAACTTTAAAAGCCTCTATATATGTTGATTTATGAACTTTAATGGTGCAAATAATTTTTTGCCAAATTGCAAAATTTTTGGATAATAAATTACAGAGATACTAATCTCAATTTAAAGCAAATTATTAAATTTCCAATTTTTTTAGTGATAAAAATATCAATATACCTGTTGAAAATATGTATCCAGAACGTATCATTTAATTGTACTTGACTAAAAAACAAAATAAGTAATGTTACATGGAACGAAATTAATGTTAAGCACTAATTTAGATGTCAATTAATTGATCTATAATTAAATGATATCAATAAATTATTACCTCTGGTGATAGAATTACAGCGAATTAGATCTATAAAATATAATATAATGCACTCAAAATAAGAGACAAACGAGACAATATTGTCCAAATATAAGTTTTATTTACATAATCAAAGGTGAATGCCACTACTTAGTAAATGTGAAATCAATATAAATTTTCCCAAAAAATAATTTAAATTTCCTTATTAAGGTCTCATTTGGTTCCCATTTTTCTCAAAATACATTTTTCTCTCTCTTCTTTTCAACGACACATTCTTCGTTAAAATAATATTACACGTAAATAAAAAACTTTTCTTTATTTTTCATCCATACATTTTTCATCAATTATTTTTCCATAAAAATGGGTGTCAAACATAATTATTTAGTGTGTTTATCCTTATTTACTCATAACATACATTTGGCAAGAATTAATAAATGATAAATTTATTAAACACATCTATGTTGTTGAATGCTAATTAATTCAGTCCAACCACTTACCAAATTATAAATAATGTAATTCATCCAACATGTCCCTAAAATCACACCAATTTCTCAAATGGGCCAAATATGAAAAAGGGTATTTTACAAGTGCGTCCACCATGTCCTTATCCTTTCATTTGTAGTACCTATATCCCTAACCTTTTAACACCGAGCTCTCGTATCCTCACTTGATTGGAAAAACGTGTATTTATACGTCAAATTGAAAGGATAAAATTGAACTATTATCATTTTTTTTTTTGAGTGATTGAATTTGGAAATTAACCGTTTCAGTGAGACATCACTTGCATACCGTGTGATCATTTTTCAATTAATTAATTTGCGCCCGTTGTTAAAAGGTCGAAAATATGGAGCCTTTTATTGGAACATATTGCCAAGCTTATGAAAATTTGAGGACCCTTTGAGAAATTTAACCAAAAATCAAAATCTATCCGTTACAATTCCAACGCTGACCGAAAGTCCATACAACGCGCCTCCTAGCGAGCGTCGCCATGTTTATACACAGTTTCAGCGAAACGCCATAAAAACTCCCGCGTCCATGCAAATCCGCCCGGTCTTCACCACTCTCCTACTAACTCACATTTCCTTCCCATTATAACCTTTTCTTTTTCAACAATTCCTCTTAATTACCCTCATTCTCTCCTTACTGTAACGCCTTCTCTGAAAGGAAAAATATTCATTCTCTCTATCTTTCCCTTTCTACTCTAATTCATCAACACCAATTCTCTCTCTAAACCTTCAGTTATATAGAGGTTATTGTATATTTATTGTTTTGAGAAGATATGGCGGTTTCAACGACGGCAACAGCGCCTCTGGCGTCACTGTACGTGGGTGACCTGCACCAGGACGTGACGGATGCACATCTTTTTGATGCCTTCTCGGAGTTTAAGAGCCTCGCGTCCGTACGAGTCTGCCGTGATTCCACCACCGGCCGCTCTCTCGGTTATGGCTACGTCAACTTCATCTCTCCACAAGACGGTACTGTTTATCTACTCGAATTCAATCAAACGCTCGTGGATAAATGTAACGTACCTATGTGTATATGCGTGTCTGCGTGTTTTTGTTCTGGATCGGAATGCTTTTTGTTCTGATCAGTTTTTTTGTGATTGATTTGCTCGATTATAGTTGATTTTGTTCTAAACTCCATCAGAATTCGAATCAGTGATTTTATTCACTCTTCCAGAGGAAAAAAAAAGATTCTGATCGAGGAATACATAATTTCATACGTTTATGCACATTGATCATGTATGTTATTTCAGGTGTGCATGCATGTATAAGGTTTTGGAATTCTGTTCATAATTTATGGTCCAATTAATCTAATTTTATTGGTCATCTAAACCAAAAAGAACTGAAAAGAGGTGTTGCTCTGAGTTATTGATTTTTGTTTTAAGAGATAAGACTTAACAATCAAAACATCCGTAAGTGTGCCATTCCTTATTCGTATCTTTTGTCTACATATAAGTGATTTTGCAGGATTATTTACTGTTAATTGATCTGATTTGTTTCAGATATTGATTTATTTATTCTTTTTGACTATTCTGTCATTTCTATTTTGTCATTTCGATTAGATTCCCGATTGGCTGGCTCTATTTCTGTTATTGATGATTTGTTGCTAGATCCCATAATTTTTAGAGATTTTGTTAAGCATGTAAAGTTATGACACCATGGATTTGATTCTTTTGTTATTTTTGGCCATTTTTATGCATAGATAATGTTACAATTCTTTTCTTTTTTGTTTTTGTTTTGAGCAGCTTCTCAGGCTATAGAGGGGAAAAATCATTTTACCTTGAACTCAAAAGCAATTAGGGTTATGTGGTCACATCGTGATCCAGGTGCAAGAAGAAGCGGGATTGGAAATGTGTATGTCAAGGTAAATCTGCTTTGCAATTGAAGAAATATTGTTCCTCAATGAGATGTTTTTATTTCATTTCGCGGTTAATTAATTTAAGCTACTAAACAGGTTTCATCCTTTTACTGCAGAATTTGAGTGATTCAATTGACAGTGTGAAGCTTCAAGAAATGTTCCAAAAGTTTGGTAATGTACTGTCTTGTAAAGTTGTCACTTCTGATGATGGGAAGAGCAAAGAATATGGATTTGTCCAGTTTGAGTCTGAAATTTCTGCAAATGCTGCCATTGAGAAGCTTGATGGCTCTACAGTTGGAGGCAAGAAGATGTACGTGTTACTTTCCTCCCTAATAGTAATAACCCCTCCCTGTGTACACGGGGAAACATCTGATGCAACATGGTCATTTCCCTTGTACATACAATTTTTTTCCTAACTCAGTAGTGCAATGACATTTTATTTTGCATAGGTATGCTGGCAAGTTTGTGAAAAAGAGTGACCGATCTCTACCCAGTCCTGAAGCAAAGTATACAAATCTGTACATCAAGAATTTGGATCCAGGTGTCACTGAGGAAGTCCTTAAGGAGAAGTTCTCTGAATATGGGAAAATTATCAGCTTGATCATCTCAAAAGACGAGAATGGGGAATCAAGAGGCTTTGGATTTGTCAACTTCGAGAATCCAGATGATGCCAGACATGCAGTGGAAGCCATGCATGGATCAAGACTTGGTATGGTCATAAAATTCTGTGGTGGTTATCATATGATCTTGTAATTAGATGTTTGAAACTTTTTTCTTATCATTTTGTATTTTTAGTAGGCTCACAGGTTATATATGTGGCCCGGGCACAAAAGAAAGCAGAGCGTGAACAGATGTTACATTACCAGTTTGATGAGAAAAGGAAGGAGCGAGTCTTAAAATACCAGGTAACAGGAATTGTTTCTTTCACAGGGCTCTAAGTGTGTTTGTGTGCACATTTATACACATTTATACATATAGGTATCTCGGTTTTGATTATATTATAACATGGCAATTTCAGACTTCAAATGTTTATGTGAAGAATATTGGTGATGATATCACTGATGATCAGCTGCGGGAATACTTTAGTCAGTGGGGCACAATTACTTCTGCAAAGCTGATGCGAGATGATAAAGGAATGAGCAAGGGGTTTGGATTTGTTTGCTTCTCCAACCCCAAGGAAGCGATCAAAGCTGTGAACACTTTTCATGGTGAGTCGGCATGTTTACTGACAAGCTTTTCTCATGACTGAAGCAAATGGGGATTTTGCATCAAAGAACTAACATTTTTTGATTTCATTACAGACCAACAAGATGGTGATGGTAATATTCAAGAGTTTATTTATCCCTTACTGCACTGATAATATTCTTTATAATTATATGGTTGTCGTGGCTTTCATAAAATGGGGTGTTGACTAAAATGTGATGTGATTATGCACCTTTAACCTTGAATATTGAATCTACCAAGTCACTTTCTTTCCATATTTGCATGGCTATAAGTCAATGTTTAATATTTTAACTATCTATATAGACTCTGATGCATCTGTCGATTTGTGTTTTACAGGATCCATGTTTCATCAGAAGCCATTGTATGTGGCAATTGCTCAGAGGAAAGAGGAAAGACAAGCCCAGTTGCTGCTAAAATTTTCCCAGGTTATGAGAGGATTTGCAGGACAATCAGCTGTCATTCCTGGTCGATATTCTTCTCTTTACTACCCAGTTCCTGGTGTCAGTACGCAAGTTGCGGCTCGACCTCGACCTGGTATGATGTATCAACCTTTTGGAATGAGGCCAGGATGGGGTGCTGATGGATATGCAAATTATTCTATACCTGCTTTTAATGCATCTCCATTTCGCCTGGTCAGTTTGCTTTATCACTCAGACTTATATGGCTATTTTAAGGATAAACTACTTTGCCAGAATGAGTTAACAAAAAATTTGACATAATTGTATGTAATAGTGATTGGATGAAAAAGTTGACTGTGATTTAAATTGTTTATGCTGATGGATATGCAAATTATTCTATACCTGCTTTTAATGCATCTCCATTTCGCCTGGTCAGTTTGCTTTATCACTCAGACTTATATGGCTATTTTAAGGATAAACTACTTTGCCAGAATGAGTTAACAAAAAATTTGACATAATTGTATGTAATAGTGATTGGATGAAAAAGTTGACTGTGATTTAAATTGTTTAATATAGTGATTGGATGAAAAAGTTGACTGTGATTTAAATTGTTTAATGATAAAATGCCAAGTGACATTTTGTTAAACTTTATGTCAACCTTAATGTAAATGTAGCGCAAGGACAAATGGTAATACGCTTCTACAGGTTGGTGATCATCATATTTTATCACTTGTACTTTCACAAATTGTTGAGGAAAAACTGTACTGTGAAATTAGGAATGTAAGCTCCTGCTCTACTTTACGCATCTGTCTCAAATTGTGATCTAATCTCTGAGCATCAAACGTAGAACCTCAAAGTATAAACTTCCTTGATATAAATCATTTTTCCCTTGCATCATATGCTCACATTAATAGATAAATATATATTTTGCGAAAAGGTGGACCAGGACCAATACATGGGAGACATATGACAAGTAAAACTTATATGAGCTGTGTAAATGCATATCATCTGATTAACTATAACTTATACACACACTGGATTCACAATCTACTAATTGTATACTGCTGCGATTTATCAAAAGATAAGAAGAAACGTGCTGTGCTTTGCAGCGTGCCAGGCATGTCAAGTACATGCCTAATGGGCATTCACGTGAGATGAACGATGAATCTGATGCTGTAACTAGCTCTGAAGGGTCAGATACGTTAAGCAGCATGCTTGCTGCAGCTCCTCCGGATCAGCAGAAACAGATACTTGGGGAGCATCTTTTTCCCCTCGTCAGTCAACACAAGGTGATTTCTTTATCCACCTTTTATTTTTTCCTCTCATTTCATGTTATTTGAGCACAAACAGTTTTTATTTTTATTCATCTTGTTTATATATATAACTCATCTCGAATATATGGGGTCCTAACCAGTTAGATGGCAACTCTGTTTCCAACTAAGAATTTTTTGGGTTTTGTAATTATTTTTTCTATTGACACATGTTTATATATGCTTTAGCAATGCTAACAGGATTTGATGCTAATTTGTATTACTTGCAGCCTGATCTTGCTGCAAAGATAACGGGAATGCTGTTGGAGATGGACAATTCAGAATTACTTCTATTATTAGAGTCACCAGATTCACTAGTGACAAAGGTGGAAGAAGCTGTTCAGGTTCTCAAGCTCAAAGTTTCGAACCAAGATGCAATCCATCCAAATTACCTTTCTGCTGAAGTCGCAGTAAGCTGAGGAAAATGATACACTACAATCTAGGTTTATGTCAGTGACTAATCTTTTCTTATATTCTTTGACCTTGGTACTACAGAAGTTTTAGAACTCATATTTAGCTGTTGTGGAATTGCAACTATTACAGGCTCTGTTTTTTTTATGATTTCATGATCTGATCCATACTCTGCAATCTCATCCACACGATGGTCGTTTTCTTCCATGACTTCGTCTTGTTCGGTATTTCTCCTCGTTAGCTCGTGCCTTAAGCATGCATTGCACCACCTCAGATATATCAATTCTCTAGTTTCAGCTGCCCTGTCCTTCTGAAGTTGTTCTACTTCATTTGCTAATTGATTGTAATTCTCTAGGGTCATCTCTTCCCCTTTAATCTGCACCAATGATTTAACCTCGTCAATCGTTGCTAATTGATTGGAATTCTCTAGGGTCATCTCTTCCCCTTCAATCTGCACCAATGATTTAACCTCATTAATTGTGCTTAGACGATTATGCTTAGAAGTATTAAATAGATATCGTTGCTTTTCCAATAGCTATCCAACAATTAGAGTTGTCTTCTACCTAGTGCAATTAATTTTGTTTTCACTTACATGTCAAGGTGTGAAAAGTACGCACGCTGTAAAGGAAAGGTGAAAGATGCTTAACCTTTGAGGCTGCCGATTTTTCTGCCAACTTGCTTAAAAGCTCAATTTTCTCTTCTTGCAACCGCTCTGAAGCTATTTTCAGCTCCCTGATTTCATTATCCATTTTCTTGGTGCAAATATCCTTCATTTCTTGCTCTTTTCGAGCTCTTGAAAACTCTGTTTCTTCCATATTCTTGATACAAATATCTTTCATTTCTAGCTCTTTTCGAGTTCTCGAAATCTCTGTTTCTTTAGCTACAATTTGCAAATTTTGTTTTTTCAGGACATGGTATTGTTCTCTATTTCTTCTGAAAAGTTTCTTAGCCCTCTTATGAAGCAAAGCATTTTCTGATCTCAAAAATTCTAGAAGCCCCATAATCTTCAAGTAATCAATCACAATATGTTCAAATCTCTGAATTTCTGCCTCCATTAGTGAAATCTCCCTAGTGAAATATTCGACTCTCATTATTTCCAGTAGAAATTTGTTTCGAAGCTCCAGTAGCACCATTTCTTGCTCTTTCAAGTTTTGATAACGAAGAAACTGCATATTTAGATCTTGTATTTGGCTTCTTAACCCATAGATTTCTTCTTGCATCTGCAGTGTTTCTATTGAATTCTCGTAACAGGCATCTGTAAAGGCATGATCAGACTCTACACAAGGGAGAGATGCTGAATCAAGGCTGTGAAAACTCTCATCATCATCTCTATACATTTCTCTAGAGTCAATTTCTACTGATTTTTCTTGGATTTTTGATAATGATGGAGCTTTCGATGCAAGATATTTTCTGCCTGCTATTTTTGCAAAAACGAAACCAATTACAGTAATAGCTAATGGAATTCCAGCTTTCACAAGAACTGGTTTCATAGCCTCCACCTTACCGGTCGAGCTCCCCATGTTTTTCAACAAAATTAAGGATCTAGTAGCTTTAGATCTTCCAATACAACCGAACTGAGTGGAGACAAGGGATTTATGTAGACCTTCTATCTATTGAGAACAAGGCTTGGTTTATCTTTTCTTAGATTCTTTACTTTGTGTTTGCTTTAAGCTTTTCTTTTGATTAGAAAAATTGAGGTCATTTGCTTCAATAATGAACGAAGGAATGCATTTGATAATCAGAGGCTTCTTTTTTCCTTCCACCTGCCTTTTGGAATCTGATTCTGAGTGAATTGAGAAGTTCCATTTGGCATTGGAGGACAATATGCTTTATATGAATTTTTGAGAACCGCACCTCGCACACACTTATTTTCAACCATGTATTTTGGAATGTATATATATCTTTACATATTCTCGTCAAGAAATCTTTATCAAAGAAGCAATATCTTAGTCAATTGTGGTTTGATATTAAAAGTAAATATTCTAGTTTGGGATTCAAGTTGAAAATCCCCGGGCTCTAAATTTTAGTGCATTTTGCTTAATACAATATTGAGTGTGGAGCGAGAGAAAAATATTTTAATTGAATATAGATCTAAATGCAAAATGGAATATAAATATATTTTTAGATTTTGTTAGAAAGAGATATATATATTTTTTTAATAATTAAGACATGATCTACTAAACACCTATACAAATTTATCTCTTCTTTATTTTTGGAAACGTGGCAACTGAAGTGGTTTTGAAGGGAACTTAGTGGCAACTAAAGTAGTTTTGAAGGGAATTTAGATTCAATTAATCTGCAAGTACATATATATATATATATATATATATATATTTTTTTTAATAGAATTGGTATGGAAAGACAGTTGTTTATTTTTGGAAACGTGGCAACTGAGGTGGTTTTAAAGGAAATTTAGTGGCAACTAAAGTGGTTTTGAAGGGAATTCAGATTTAATTAATCTGCAAGTGCATATATATATTTTTTAATAGAATTGGTACGGGAAGACATTTGTCTTCCTATGATTTGCCGTTGCAAAAATTGTTTTTGACACAAGAAGACGATTGTCTTTCTGTACAAATTTTGTTGAAAAAACCTATACTTATAGTATTGTACATTTAGATCTTAGAGCCATATTTATAAGTTGTGTCGTGACTCGTGGATATGAAATAGAAAAGAACGACAAGATGTAAGAAGCAGTTGATTGAACAATGGTTCGAGTCCATATTTTTTATTTTTTAAATATGCAATTAAATTATAAGATCTTTTTAAAATAAGTAATTAATGTCTTTTTCATGAACCTTTACAAGTAGATTCTCTTGTCAGCTGAATCATGTTTCGCAATTCCCTTCCACGTTGGCCGGCGGCAATCGGTTATCAGAACAACACTCCAACTACTGAGTATGCCAACTATTCCTAGCTACTGTCTACTTGTCATGCTCCTAATTGCCATTATTCCACGTGTCACTTATTCATTAGTATCATTTCTAACCCGCATGTCACCGATTCCAGGAAAAACCCTCGAAACCCCAAGCCGTTAAAACATCTTCTCCCTCCCATTTCTTCCTTGGGAGATTTGATAAAAAAGTCTAGTCAAACAATGATATTGATAAAATAACTTTCTTTCAATGTTTTTTTGGTCAAATGACCTTCACTTACAAAATATAATAAACAAATAATGTCAAATATCTAAAATGCTCTCACCATTGAAAATACCCAAATACCCATTTCAATCCAATTAAATTCCTCAATTTATCCACAAAACACATCAACATGCTTTTCCAGTGGTTTCTTTCCTAAAATCTTGTTATTTATTGTATTCTTCTTCTATCTTCTCCAATATTGTAAGCATTTGAACAAGAATTTTGGTATCAATATTTTCTACATTGAATCTCTACTATATTTAAAGAAAAAAGAAAAGTATTTTTAGAAATCTCATTTACATTTGTACTTTTATTGTTGAATATAGTATAAAATAATATTTTAATTGATTTTATTTTCTCACTTGGTGTATATTTGTACCATCCGCAACTATTGGACGATAACGACACTCCAGTCGTTATCTGTAGTGTAGAACGACACTACAATCGTTATCCTCCATGTAAAATGACTGTACAACCATTATCTGTTATGATCTGTCCCTCATTGATAATATATTGTGGTTACTTTGATAATTTAAATATGATATCTTTTTTCATATTATTTTAATATATACTTGAATTGATGAAGCCATAACGACAGATATTTATTTTTTGTTATAACAAAACATCACTGGTACCCTTTTTAGTATTTTACCTAGAAAATATAGAAATGATGTTCAGAAATTAAATATCATTGATCTAATAATAATTTATTTTTAAATATACAAGTTATCAATTATTCGTATTGTGTTTACATAAGTAACGACACTTGTGCTGTTTTCATAACAGTAACAACACTAGTGTTGTTCTCATTTTCATATTGACCAAGCAATGAGAGTATCTTTCAAATTATGTCAGCGGCATGTTCATCTTGCAACTTACATGAGTTCAAATTATTGAATATCAAGGTCCGGAAGGCTCGTGGCTGCTCATACTCATGTTTATCGACAAAACGATAAACATGAGTATAATTGCACTTGTGCTGTTTTCATAACAGTAACAACACTAGTGTTGTTCTCATTTTCATGTTGACCAAGCAATGAGAGTATCTTTCAAATTATGTCAGCGGCTTGTTCATCTTGCAATTTACATGAGTTCAAATTATTGAATATCAAGGTCCGGAAGGCTCGTGGCTGCTCATACTCATGTTTATCGACAAAACGATATAGGTGACGTTTAATTGCACTTGTGTCGTTTTGTTGGTTTATCCTATATTTCGCTTCATTTTCACCGCGTCAACCTCAAGTATCAGACTTCCTAACTTAAGAAAGTCAAAATTATTAATTATGTAACGAATAACAGTAGAATTGACATAGATTGTAGATGTCGCGTTGATGAAATCACAAGTCACCATCCATAATCGTTGGAAAATAAAAGTAATGAGAGTATCTCTCAAACTATGTGAGCGACATGTCCATCTCACGACTTAAATGAGTTCAAATTATGGAATATCAAGACCTGAAAGATTCGTGGCTGGTCATAATCGTGTTTATCGAGAGAACGACAAAAGTGACGTTTAATAACACCTGTGTCGTTCTGTTGGTTTCTCCTATATTTCACTTCATTTTCATCGCTTGACCTTAAGGATCGGACCTCCTAACTTAAGAAGTCAGAGTTATTGATTACATGACAAATAACGGTAGAATTGACATAGATTGTAGATATCACATTAGTGAAATCACAAATCACCATCCACTTTCGTTGGAAAATAAAAGTAATGAGAGTATCTCCCAAATTATGTAAGCGGCATGTCCATCTCGTAACTTAAATGAGTTCAAATTATGGAATATCGAGACCCGAAAGGCTCGTGACTGCTTATACTCGTGTTTATCGACAGAACGATACAGGTGACGTTTAACAACACCTGTGTCGTTCTGTTTGTTTCTCCTATATTTCGTTGCATTTTCGCAGTGTCTATATCAAGGATCGGACCTCCTAACATAAGAAAGTTAAAATTATTGATTACGTGATGAATAACAGCAGAATTGACATAGATTGTAGATGTCGCGTTGGTGAAATCACAAGTCACCATCCACATTCGTTGGAAAACAAAAGTAATGAAAGTATCTCTCAAATTATGTGAACGGCATGTCCATCTCGTGACTTAAATGAGTTCAAATTATCGAATATCGAGGCCCGAAAGGCTCGTGGTTGCTCATACTCATTCTATTCTCAATAACAGCACAAGTGCCGTTATTATCACAGTAACGACTTGTTGCATTCCCATTAATAAGTTTATGTCATTGTAACTTCAGTTGTGTCGTTCTTTATATCTTTTCAATATCATTAGATCCCCTAACTTTAAAAAGTTAGAAATGTTAATCATGAGACAACGAACGGTTAAATTGACATAAATTATATGACTTTGAGTTGGTGAAATCACTAGTTATTGTATTGATTCGTTAGAAATATAATTATTGAGTACATCTCTCAACTTTTGTAAACGGAATGTTCATATTGCAGTTAGAAAGGTTGATCATGAGACAACTAACGGTTGAATTGACATAAATTATAAGACATTGAGTTGGTGAAACCACAAGTTATTGTATTGATTCGTTAGAAATATAATTATTGAATACATCTCTCAACTTTTGTAAACGGAATGTTCATATTGCAATTGAAATAAGTTTAAGTTATTAATTTTTGGGGCATGGATGGGTCGTGGCTACGTATACTCACCTTTATAGACAGAACGACACAAGTGTTGTTTAACAGCTCTTTTATCGTTCTATTAATTTCACAAATATTTTGCTTATTTTCCAATACAACAATCTCAAACATTAGATCTCATAACTTAAGAAAATTAGAAAAGTTGATCGTGAGAAAAAGAACAGTTGAATTGATATAAGTTATATGATATCGAGTTGGTGAAATCATAAGTCATTATATTGATTCGTTAAAAAATATAATCAATGAGCATCTCTCTCAACTTTTGTAAACGAAATGTTCATATTGCAATTTAAATGAGTTCAACTTATTAATTCTTAGTGCATGGATAGGTCGAGACTACATATACTTGTCTTTATAGACATAATGACACAAGTGTCGTTTAATAACTCTTTTGCCTTTTTGTTAATTTCTTAAGTATTTTATTTATTTTCCAATATAATAGCCTCAAACATTAGATTTCCTAACTTTAAAAAGTTAGAAAGGTTAATCATGGGATAACAAATGGTTGAATTGACATAAATTATACAATATTGAGTTAGTGAAATCACAAGTTATTGTATTGATTCGTTAGAAAAATATAATTATTGAGCACATCTCTCAACTTTTGTAAACGAAATGTTCATATGGCAATTGAAATGAGTTCAACTTATTAATTTTCGGGGCATGGATGGGTCGTGGCTACGTATACTCATCTTTATAGAGAAAACGACACAAGTGTCGTTTAACAGCTCTTGTATTATTCTATTGATTTCACAAATATTTTGCTTCTTTTCCAATGCAGCAACCTCAAAAATAGATCCCCTAACTTAAGAAAGTTAGAAATG